GGGGGCGGAGGTGAGGGGCGGCAGGGGAGGGCGGCGGGTGCGCCCCCACCCAAGGCCCACATCGACTGCTCGCGCAAGTTTGAGTCCTCGTGGAGAGCGAGCTGCACCAGCACCGGCACGGCGCCGTTGTCGAGGAGGACGCGCCTGGGTGGCGGCGCGGCGCGGTGTGAGCGGCCGAACGAATCGCGCCCGGGAAGCACCGCGGCTTTGCCGCCGCGGGGCTGGGTGCGCACACGTGTGCTCTGAGGTGCCCGAAGCGACGTTGGTCACCGCCCACGCGGCCTCAAACGCCAGCATGGGGTCGTCAAAGCAGTGGAGAAACTGCACCAGTCGAGGCACCACGCCCGCCTCGATGATCTCGGCGATCGGCGGGTTCCGCTCGATCGAGAGCAGCTTGCGCAGCCGTATGCACGCCTCGAGCTGCTGCCCGCGGTCGTCCGAGTTGAGCAGCTGCACATCCTCGGGGAGAGACTTGAGCGTCTCGGCCAGCCCGGGCTCGGGAGCCTCCGCGCTCCGCGTCGCCGTGCGCGCCTGCTGGGGCGGCTGCGACGACGAGCTGCCACCGTAGGGCGCCGCCGCTGCAGCCGCCGCGGGCCGCCGCCGCTTTTGCAGCCCCTCCTCCTTCTTGTCCTTTCGGATCTGAATGGTCGACGCCTCGCGCCGCCGCCGAGCGTCCTCCGCGTCGATGCCGCCCTTTGACTTTGGCACCGCGTGCGGTTTGGTGGCAACCATGTCACGTTAATGTGGGTTACCCTGCGCCTCGGTGTCGCCGCTGCGCCTGCGGCCGCCACCGCGTGGAGGGTGAGCAGAGCAAAAGAGAGGAGCGCGAGGCCCTAGCCCTCGGCCCAGCCGGCACGCGCGCTGGGTCAGCTGCGACAGAGAGGCTGGCCGTGGCACGCGTGCGCAGCAAGGCTGGGCGAATGTTGAGTGGTGACCGACCCCAGCTCGTTTGGGACACGTCACGGCGAAGGCGGAGCGTCGGGCGAGACCGTCGAATCACGGGGTGGAGTGGCGACGGTGTGTGGGGCGTGGCGCGCGCCCCGACGGTGTCAGCCCGCGTCGCAAAGGAGAGAGCTGGGGCTGGCGGTGGCGCCGCAGCCAGTTCTCGCTTTGGGACACTGCCCCGCATGGACCCACTCGTGGGATGTTTTCGAGGGGCGGGATGTTTCTCGTTTGCCAGGCGCCGGCAGCATATCGTTTTCTTTCGCTTGGACTAGGAATCTAATCTGATGATCGCAACCACTCATCCAACGTGAACTGTCGTCACCCATGAGTGCGAGATAGGGCTGGCGGCTGGCCGCTAGCCTGTGAGGAGGCCGTCCATAGACACCTCACAAGACCCCACACACGGTCTCGTCCGTGCCTTGCGGCCGGCGATGAGATTGCTAGAGGCGGAGCAAGCCTGCTCTAGTCTCACACGTTCGCCCCTGTCGCCCGTCTGTGTTGTTGTGCTGTTGTTTGTCTCTTGGCACCTTGGAGTGCTGGGGGGGGGCGACAGGGGGGACGTGGCCTTGAGTGATGTGTACGCCCACTCAGGGTGTTGTGTGGCGGCCACGCTGGCTGTGTGTCTTGTGAGCTTGTTTGTGTTTGTGTGTCGCTCGTGCGTGTCGTCATCATCTGTCCAGCGTCCACCCATACCGCGTTGGTGTCCAGTCCGAGCCTGACTGTTCTTACAAAAACAAACTGTTCTTCGCCTTCCTACATACACACATTACGATCGCTTGGACAGATTTGCACAAAATTGGATGAGAAAATGGAAGGTTTTAGCCGTCAAAAAGTGAAGGCAGGCAGCACACGATTTTACTTACCCCGGGGAGGTCACACTTGCTTGGGAGTGATGAGGTTGTAGGGGCGAGGCGGACCGGAGGCGGGCGATATGTGCTTTGTTGGTGGGAAGTAATTCACACCGCGTGGCGTTGACCGATGTATATCCCCACAGCGCTACATATCGCCTCCGGGGGCGCTACGTTCGACACCGATATGTAGCTTGTAGCGCCCCCGGAGATGGTATGTAGCGCGCCGACCGATATGATCCACCGAAGCCGAAGCTGAATTGCACGCGACTTTTTTGCAGGTGGTGGTGGAAACGGCGTAATAGCACGTAAGCGTCCATCTCACCACGGGCTGACGCTGTGCTTCGAACGACGGGTTGAGTGCACGGCCATGAGGCTGCATCGGGAAGAGGTGAAATGTAATCCTCTTGCACCACTGGGTCGGTCGAGAAGGGACCGCCGTTCATGTGGCAGCGAGAGCGTAGAGGAGCAACCTGTGCATCGCCAGCACAGAGCCAGCAACGCCGCCTCGAATTGGTGAGGGGATCGTGGCGGCGATCGTTGGACACGTCCCTGGCTTCCCGACGGCGAACTCGAGCCCTTGGGGCTTTTGGATAGAGATTGTTTTTTTGCTTTTTTTTTGTTAAGTGCTATCCACAGGATGAGAGACGGCACGTTCCCCTCAACACCTTTCGCCACACCTTTCGCCAGCTCCCAGCTCGGCCTCGATGCTCGGCACGTTCCCCTCAACACCTTTCGCCACACCTTTCGCCAGCTCCCAGCTCGGCCTCATGCTCAACACCTTTCGCCACACCTTTCGCCAGCTCCCAGCTCGGCCTCGTGCTCGGTCGGCACGTTCCTCAACACCTTTCGCCAGCTCCCAGCTCGGCCTCGATGCTCGGCACGTTCCCCTCAAGAACACCTTTCGCCACACGTTCCCCTCTTGCGACTCCTCGCGCTTTGTTGGCGGTGACGAGGGCGCTCGCCGCCGGCATTCGCGAGCTTCGTGAGACGCACCCGGCCCTCAAGTTGACGGACGGACACCTCGCCGCCGCCGCCAGTTGACACTCGCAGGTGTCCGTCGCCAGCCATCCCAAGCTAGTCCCCAACAGACGCAGCACCGCCAATCGACACAAAGCCCGTCGCCCGCCCAGAATAGCCCCAATACACACCCCGGAGCAATGCGACAACGTCGCGGCTGCACCTTTGGCAAGCGTACTTGGGCGGTCTCCGCCGTCGGCTACATCGCCGGCCTCGCGCCAAGCCTGCCTCGCATGAGCATGGCGAGTCATCGTCTTTCCCGTTCGCCATCCGCAAGTTTGTTCGGAATGCTCGCTCGCGTCGATTCGACGCTCATCTGCCCGAGAGGGATGATCTACTCGGCGCGCGAGCGGAGAGGTGCCTCGCCCCTGCCCTTCATCACCATCACCGCAAGCATCATCATGATGACTGTCCTCGTGCCGTCGTCAGCAAGTCAGCATCACCATCGTCACCGTCTTCACCAGCATCCTCGCCCTCATCCTCGTCACCATCCTCACCACCATCGCCATCCCCGTCCTCGTCAACATCCTCGTCAACATCATCACCATCTCCTTCATCGTCAACATCCTCCCCTTGATCGTCATGATGACGCAGGCCTCTGCGCGCTCGGACATCCCATCCATCCCTTGAGTGCTCGGGCAACCCCGCGCTGCTCATGAGGCCTTTAAGGGGTGGAGATCCCGGGGGAACCGACAGGGCCTGGCCTGGAGAAGGGCGCAAGCTGGCGCCCGCTCTCTGTGTACACCGGGGCCTGCCCAGAACCTTCCGGGAACCTTCCCTGCAGGTGCCTCTTCGCCCCGGACGAGGGGAAGGGATGGGCCCTCCTTCCGCCCCCCCCCCCTCCCTTCCGCCCCTCGTCCCCCCCCCCACCTCTCTCCTGCCCGCCATCAGCCCCTCCCCTCCCTCTTTGCACACCCCCAGCTCTCTCCCCCGTCTACCGCCCGACCCGTCGCAGCCCCTCACCCCCTCACCAGACACTGCACCTCCCCACCTCCGCGCAGCCGCCGGCGATGCTTGGCGAGGACGGCGAGGAGCGACTTGGGCGACCTGGCCTCGAGCAGGCGCACAGCACGCGCACGCCCTCTGTGTTAGCGCCTCGCCCTTCCCGCCTCCCTCCAGCCCCCCGCACCCCCGCACCCTATCACCCCTGCCTCCCGCCGACCCAACGCGCGCAGTCTGCTTCGCGCGCAACATGAAGCAGGCGAGAATGTGATGTCGACGACTCTGTGCGCGACAACTTTGGTCTCGGCTGCACGGTGCGCGGCTCGATCCTGGCCTTCAACCACGCCCGCTCTCACTTCCCGAACTCTCCAAGCCAGCCCTCGCGATGAAACCGCGCCTATTTCTCCCCCCCCTTCTGACTTCGCCTGCAGGTCGCAGCAGGGCCTCAGCCGCCCTGGCTCTCGGCACCCCGAGTCCCTCCGTCCTCCCCCCCGTCGATTCCTCCCGCCTTCGTGACGCCCGATCCTCTCCACCGACTTCCTCGCTGCGGGATGTCGGCCGATGCGGTGCGCTTGCTCTGCCCACGCCCGTTCCCCCTTGCCCGCGAGGCCCGCGCCCCTTCCACGACGACACTCCCCCCCCCCCCCCCCCTCTTGCCCCGCCCGCCCGCCGCCCGCCGCCCTACACCCTCCTCTTCGCGCACGCGCGCAGGTCTGCGACGCTTGTCCAGCATCCCACCGGCCCGTCCTCTTCGCCGCCATCGTCTTCTAAGCGGCGCTCATCGGGCTCTCATGAAGGGCGGCGGGCCGTGAGAGAAAGGTGCCCGGCCTCCCCCTCCAACGGATGGTGGAGAAGGCTATTACGTACTTGGCTGCAATCTCGCTGATGTCCATATTGCGACGTTCACGATACAACGTCGACGTCTGCCTGCTCTCCAACATCTTTGCTGCACCATCCTAATTGCTGAAGTGCATCACACCGCGCCAAGTGCAGCAGTCGTTGGTGGAGAGGCGCTTTGTGCTGGTCCGCAAACTTGGAAGTAGGGAGCATGCCATCTAGGATGAGGCATCGCATGTCCAGCGAGTCCCCACTGCTGAGCACCATGCCAGCCAGCAGCAGCTTCACACGCAATAGAGTAAGCTGTGCCACGCACTACCCGCGCCGGGGAATCCAATAATCCAATAGTCCGCCTGAGCTCCACCAGGACGGCCATTGTGTCAGCTCAGCTCTGCCTCGTACGCAGTCCACCAGTTGCGTGCGG